AAAACTGACTGACCCAGATGCAATTCCGGTCTTTGAAAACAAGCTGTTTATGTAATCCATGCCCAGCAAGGAGGTAAGAGACTTGGAGATGTGTGTGATATAATGATGTTTATACTGATGTAGATCAAGATTTGTTTAAAGCCAAGTTCCTATCTCAGACCTGGGTGTTAGTCCATCACCAGGAGCTCCTTGGGAATCCTGAGGCCCCCACTGCCACCCCCACTCACTGGCTTCCCTTCCCCCATTTTTCAGAAGCCAGAGGATGCCTGCCGCATCTTGCACTGTAGTGCAAACAGATCCCTGCAAAGGGAGAGGAAGATAAAATGAATTTAAATTCCAAAGGGGTTCCAGTGCCGGTTTCCTAGTCCCCGAGTCAGCAATGTGTTTGTGAAAATTCAGCCTTTTTGTCTCCCAGTAAAAAGGAGCTAAATCTACATCGGTGGCCCAGTCTCGGGTTGCTATTCTTTGCATTTTCTATTCGAGTGAATGAGAGTGAATGAAGTGGCCGAGACCCTTCATTTGATCTACTCAATTGCATAAAGTGACAGAATTCTAATATATTTGTTTAATGCTCTTCAATGGGCTTTCACTTTTTTGCTTGCAAATGAAGCATCTGTGGGCAAAGTTTCATCCCCCTTTAACACCGGGACATATTTCATAACTCAGGCCGTGGTTTGAAGTGATCTTGAGAGGAGTTTTAGACTCGAAAAGTGGAAAATAAAGAAACAGATGTGAAGTTATTGTAAATTCCTAGAGTGGGCTCTGGGGCTATTGTGCCCCCACGGCGGGCGGTCCAGGGGCTGTGCCTTTCATGCTGTAATTGAAACATATTAATTAGATAATTTGTTGTTAGTTTAAAAGAAACAAATGCATCCCCTTTGAGGCTTCACAGCCGGTGGGTTGGGTTGTTTTTGTTTTGTTTTTTGTTTGGTTGTCTCTGTGCATATGTGGCGTTAGGAGGGGGAAAAAAATTAATTGGCATTTATATTAAGAACTTGAGAAAAGATCCAGAAGATCCTTTCCATTTCTTAAATGGATACTTTTTACAAAGGGAGTTTCTATCCGTAAAAATAAAAACCACCCCTCAGCTCCCCACCTTGCATAACTAATGGAAAACCTTCTGTTTGCAGCACTTCATTAGATTCCTCCTCCTTCCCACCCCCCAGCTTCCCCCCTGTTGAGCACCTGGCCAGATTTATGCCTCCAAGACACTCAATGTTCTCATCTCTTTTAAAGGCATTGAACTCACTGCTCTAATATTGAAGCCATTCTAAGGATCATTTATTGGCACCTCTTCTGCTAGCCTTACACTTTTCAAAAACCCCAACCCAATAGGAGTAATGAGAACTTCTGTAGCTTCTTTCTTGAGAAAGTGCACAAAATTCATCCATTGTGTAAGCATTTCCCCAAATCTCAGAGAAAGCCATTTAAAAACAGTTGAGTGCAGAGTCATGTCAAAAACCAAAAGTAGCAGAATTGCCAGGTTTCCAAAATCAAACACCTAAATTAAAAAAAACAAAAAAACAAAAAAAAACCCTGCCTAAGTTTACCAAATAAAATAGTATAAAGTAACTTGATTATCAAAATAAAATCCTGAGCATACACCTCTCTGTATAGTGGTATCTCTTCCAGTTTTATTTTTAAAGCTCTGTGTATTGACTTTGGACTTGAGCCAGGTGAAAAGATTTAACATGACAAAGAGAGCCATTGAAGGTATCATAGTTATAAACTTCCCTATTTGTGGGGCACTTCAGCTAAACAAGGGTATAAATCTCAAAGCTAGGGATAAAGTAGGGTGGAGCCGTGTGTGTTTGGGCTGTCTTTGGATTTCTGATCAAGGTCAAAATATCATCATGGAATTTTTACTTTACTCATTCAACTTTGTCTGAGAAAAGATGCCTGCACTTGTGAAAGGAGGGCACACAATGCCCAAGTTATTTCATTCTTCGCAATACACCATGACGAACTTACCAGCTGAAAAGGACATTTTCAAATACTGAGCTGAAATCACTCCTTTGCTAAACACCAGAAATAGGATCTGCATCTTCTTTACTACCATTTATTAAATGTATGTATGTATACATCACTTAGCTCTGAGTTCTATTGGCCATTCTAGGAAGGATATTTTACTTGACTATCTAAACTGATGATTTATAGAATGTTTCAGGCCCATGTTTACATGGTTTCTTCATTCCCATTTTGAATTCAGTGTTAGTAAGTAAAATCAAAGAGATTAGAATGTCCCAGAGGTGGCCTTAATTTTATTTTGCATGACACGATGAAAATGCATTTATTTCTTTTTCAGTGCAGATAAATTCTTGTTGAGAACAAAGTTTCAAGAATTTCCTAGCCCAGGATGGATAAGTTTTGCAGGCTTTCTTTAGCTGATCTTGTTGATATAATTGTGAATTGGGCTTGATGAATGAGTTTGGTTGTCCCCTGTCTGACGAGCTTTAGTAGCTTCATGCATTTTAATCAGTCCAATGATTCATTTATTTTCCACTTTTTTTTTTTTTGGCTGTGTGTGGGATCCTTCCTTTTAAAAAATTGGTCACAACAGGATTAATTATCCTCTGCATTAATCCTAAATTTTTTTTCAGATAACCCTCTAAATATATAAGGGTCACAGGTGCTAAGGATTCTCCTCATGGAGTATAGTGATCATGATTTCTATATGGGTTCCTCTGTATTGCACAGAGTCTCTTGTTTAATCATTTTACACAGTAAAGTGTTAATCACCATTTAAGTTTTTCTTTGTCTCACAACTTTATTAGTTGAATACTCCCCCTCACTATGGAAATATTGTGAGCCCTTCAATAAAGTTTCAATTGGCCTTGAGCCATAAATTCTTGGCAAATTTTAATTCTCTGGAAATAGCTGAAGAAAAAGTAAATAGAGTGGAACATTTTAAGTAACTTCATTCACTTCTTAAAATAAATTCATCCAGCATTATTTTCTCACACGAAGGAGTAAAAAGAAGTATGTTCAGTTCAGAGTGAACAGGTTTCAACATGCGAGGTGGACTCTTAGGTAAGTTTTGAAAAGGAAAATTTCAACTGCAAAAACTTAAAGGAGCAAGGAAATGAACACTCCAAATAAGATGCATCGGAATATTAGCATTGTGTAAGCCAGTCTACTTTTACTTTTTATATCTCCATATCACCTCTGCCTGATTTCTACATATGCCTTGTATTTGTATACGTGCTGGATATATTTTGTAAAATGTATATTTTAAGATAGACAAAAATACATATAAAGTACTATATTTTTCAATCCAGTTTTTCTTTCAGCACTACACCTGTGCACCTGATCTTTGCTAGAAAGTCTGTTTCCTTTCCCTATGCACTGTCTCTTCAAGAGTCCATCTGAATAATTTTTCTCCCAATCTGTAAGTGCATAAGAGAGGATTCGATTGTTTTAAAAATAAGATATGAACAAAGACAAACTACTCAGACAATGCACTGCAGAAAGCATGCCTAGAGAAGCACTAGATATATATCTTGTAAAGTGATTGTTTGCAGGAACTCTTCAAAAACACAAAAAATAAAATTTGAATTTACATATTTTAATGAGAAAATATTATTTGGACTAGGTTCATAATTTAATGTAGACACCTTTTTAAAATTCTTTGTCTTAAAACAGGCATGCTGGGAACAAGAACATCAATATTTAAAATGCCATGCTAATTCTATACAGGAAGGAACAAAATAAAAGGTAAAAACTTTACAGCTTTGATGACACTACAACTTTTTTTTTTAACGTAAGCAGGTCACACCAGAACAACAGTTCGTTTCTCAGCAAATTACCTAAGACTCTAAAGGAATATAGCAAACAAAAGTGCATTTTACACAGTGTATAATCATTCCTATTCACACGCATTTACACCTCTTTGCAGCCCTTAGCTTCTTGGGAAAATTCTTGTAGCGAACGGAAGGACTTGTCCCTGGGAGACCTACCCGGTGACATTTCCTTCAAGTTACCAGTCAGCTTATCTAAGTTCTTCTCAGGTTGCCCTTGATGCTTTCTTAGTTTGGGTTTATTTTATTTTCTCCCCTCCCCTCTTCCAACAATAAAATAAATAGCTAAAAAGGTCTCTAAGTAATCGGAAAGTTAACATCCCAATTAACTTTCCCATCCCCCCCTTCCCTCCCCTAAACCTGGCCAGAAATGAAGAGTAAACATTCACATTACAACAGGTACTTGTAAAGTGGGCTTTGCCCGCTCGCCCGCCAAGCAATAACAGATTCAAGTTCACTGTTTACATTTTACCGGGCGCTTTGTAAACAATACAAGGTTACTTTTAGTTTTGTTCTGCTTGTGTTGAGGACAAGCGTCCCCTTCCCGGCCTGGCAGCCGCTCCTCTAGCCCCCAGCGCCTGGAACCTCTGGCGGGACACAAGACCCAGAACAAGAAATTCTGCGGTAGCTGGGGGAGGCAGGCCCGCTCCTCAGGGAAGCTGCGGTCCGCCCAGCCCCTGCCGGATGGGCGGAGGCGAGCGGGGTAGGAAGATTAGTGGTCTCTTGTCGCAGCAGATTCCCAAGACTGGAACAGAGAGAGTCGGCCCTCCGCTGGGACGCTGCAGCTCTCCGGGGAGCTCTCTGTTCAAGGAAACCTCTGCACGGAGGCCGGAGCCCCGCCGGGGCGGGCGGAGGGAAGATGCCCTACGCTCTGCGAAGTCGGGAGGCAGGATTTCCCCTACCTCTTAAATGGGAGGGTTTTCGAGGGCCCAGGGAATGGGTGGGATAGGCTCAGGTGCCCCCCTGCCTTCCCCTCGAGCGGGGGAGAGGACAACTCCCACGCGACTCCAGGCCCATCTGCAAGTTTGTGTTTTGTCTCCTGGGTCCGAAACAAAGTTCTCATGGGGGAGAGAGATGGCTGGCCGAAGGTGAAACTGACACGTTAGGGTGGCGGTCCCAGGTCAAGGAGGGCAGGACTGGGAGCTGGGGAAGGTGAGTGAGCTAGCGGGGAGAGGAACAAGAGGGGGCGCGGGCCGCTTCGGGTCAGTGCACCGCCACCGAGTGCAAGGCGGAGGCCGGGCTGGTGAGCGTTTCGCTGGGAGTGGCGGGGCTGCTTTGGCTGGTGGCTGTTTGCGAGGACGTGGGGCTGAGAGAGGGGGGCGAGTTCGAGAGCAAGGTGGGGATGGGCGCGGGCAGGGCGGGCAGCGCGGGCACTGCGGCCGGCGTGGGCTTGATGGGCACCGGGATGGCGGGCAGCGTCTGGCCCGCTGCGTGGCACAGCGGCTTCAACGGCACGCCGTAGGCGCTGTAATCGCCACTGGCCATGGAGATGGGGGTGGCCGAATCGATCATGCCTGTGGAACCGTACACGTGTGGCCAGCCAGTGCCCAGCGAGCTGCCCATGGTAGTCAACTGGTTGGGGAGAGGGTAGGCGGCCGGCACAGGCTGCATGGCGGAGAAGGCCAGCCCCCCAGGCATCTTGTACTCGCGCGCGATGATGTTCTCGATGGCGAAGGGGTGCTTGAAGCCAGAGGGCTGCGCCACACCGCCTAGGTTGTAGGCGGCAGCGGGCATCTGCGGCAGGTGCGTGCCGGAGGCAGCCAGTGCGCTCAGGCGCAGCTTGGCCTGCTGCTGCAAATACTGCGCAGCGTCGGCGGGCTTGCTAGGCGCCAGGTGGTCCGACTTGAGCACCTTGAAGCGCTTGCGGCGCCTCAGGAAGCTGCCGTTCTCGAACATGTCCCCGCAGCTGGGGTGCAGCGCCCAGAAGCTGCCCTTCCCCGGCTGGTCAGGACGCCGCGGGATCTTGATGAAGCAGTCGTTGAAGGAGAGGTTGTGGCGCAGGCTGTTCTGCCAGCGTTGCGTGTTCTCCCGGTAGTAGGGGAAGCGGTCCATGATGAACTTGTAGATCTCGCTCAGCGGCAGCATCTTCTCGGGCGAGCTCTGAATGGCCATGGCGGTCAGCGAGATGTACGAGTAGGGCGGCTTCTGGTCGCTGTACGTGTTGCGGCCGGGCCGAGGCATCTTCTTGTTTGCCCCCTTCTTGCTCTGGGTCCGCGCGGGCCGGCGGCTGCTCGGATCTGAGAAGGGGGAAAGATAAGGGGAGAGGGCATGGATGCACAGACAGACACCACGAGGTCAGCCAGGCCGAGTACAGACCGGGTGTGTAGCGTAGGGGCTGCAGCACTGGGTCAGCCAGCGCCCAGGCTCTTTAGCCAGCAACTTCGCGTGCAGAGTGGGGCTTGGCCAGCGGGGCGAGCCGCACAAGAGTAGCACGGAAATAAACCGGAACTGGAGCGGAGACCCGGGCTGGGATGCAACCGAGAGCTGCTCACCTTAAAGTTGCTCCAAGTAGAGCGTGCGCATCCGGGATGGCGCTGCTGCTCGCCGCGTCCCTCCCAGCCCGCAGCTGGGGCGCAGTGTCCCGTCTCGGTTGGGCTCCGCAAGTCTCCGAGCTCCTCAGCTCAGCGCAGCAGCGCTTTCTGGCCGTGCGCTCGGCAGGCGGCCGAGCTCGGCTGCGGAGTCCCGGCACGGAAGGTGGCAGCGGCGGCCTCGGGGCTCCGGAGGGCGCTGCTGTGGGCTCCGCAGCAACGCTGAGCTAGGCGGCTGCCTCCATGTCCTCCCTCGAACCATCTGATAGTTTTAAGCGGTGACAGGAGCAGAAAAGACCCCTGTAGCGGCGCTTCATTAATGTGCCACTTCTTAGCTATCATATGACAATCGCCTTGGGAGGAGGAGGAAGAGGAGGGGGAGGAGGCTGTGGCGGGAGGGGACTGTGTGAGAGGGGGAGAGCCTGGCCAGCTCCGGTTTCTTTCACACCTATTTACATGGACACCTTGGCCAATAGGAATCACTTCCAGCTCAAGCCTGGGCAAGGGGGAAGAGCCTGGAGCCACCGGCGGGGAGCGGGACGCGCCGGCCAGGGTGTGCGGTGTGAAGGTATGAGGAGGCAGCGGCCGTGGAGCAGGGATTCAGGCGACCACTCCCGTTCACAGACCGAGCTGCCGTGGAGATGATGTTTGACATGGAAATTGCTTGGCTGGGGTATTCTGTTTCCTCCGCATTGTATCGGGTTTGTATTGTTAGCTAACGTCAGGCAAGGCTTTCCTCTGAAGCTGACCCTTTTCCTGCGCTTGGCATTACGCAGGGCTGGTTGCATGGGTTATTATAATAAAAATACACCCTCCCCCCAAGTCTTCCGAGAGGCAGGTCAAAGTTTGATTTGACCTTCCTAGGCTGCTGCCTTAGCTCTGCACAGTGGGTGTATAGTTTTAAGCGTTGGGGTTTTTAAGAATACTTACAAAAATATAGTCGGGCAGCCCCATAAGAGCACATTTTGAACCTAACTGAATTGACCAATTAAAAAAAATTAAAATAGTGTATCTGGGTGAATAGGCTAAGTCTTCACTTTAAAAGTTCTCTAGGAATTTGATCAGACTCAAGATGAAGACTCTTGAGCTGTTGGGTCAGGCAGTGTGCAGACTAGGGGTGGGCCCGAGCTTGTCTGACACACTTTGTCACTATATGAACTGCAGGGTCTCTTGCTTTCCCCAGGTAGTTTGAAATTTTAGTAGTGGGTGTTGCCTGGAAGTTTGCATTTTACAGCTGGAACTTTCTCTGATTCCCCCACCCTCTTTTTTTTTTGCATAAAGAAAACATATTTAAGTTTTAGGGAGCCCAGCAAAAGCTGCCTTCGGCCCCACTAATACAGGAATACCTTCTAGACTTGCAAAGACCAGTGAGTTTAACTTTTCTTGAGAGAGAGGAGGGTGCGGCGTGCCTCGGGGTCACCCTGCCTGGTGCGGGGCAGCAGGCTCCATTCTGTTGGGATTTGTCTCTGGAGAGTCAATGAGTTATCATCATCATCATCATCATCATCGTCGTCGCTGTTGTCGTCATCATCATCATCAGGTTGCTATGAAATAGTGAGTCCACCCCACTTGCATGCACGCAGTCTAAGAGTAGACTCTAGGAGTTCTTACTGGTGTCTGTACATTCTTCGACATTTAGGACAAATTTCTTTTACTGTGTTGTTAAAAACGATACTCACAGCCCACACTGAATCTCACCTTCGGTCGGGAAATGTGAGGTGGTGGTGGTGGAGGGTGTGGTGGGAGAGTTTCGGTGTGAAGTTTTGATACTTTTAGTGATAGAGCATTATCAGTGGAGCTGTTCGTGGTTAGCGTTTTTTTAAAAATCTTCCAGTGCGTGTGCACACACCCACGTCCACACCTCCATTAACCGCAGTTTCAGAGTTGGTCAATAACTCACCAAAACGTAACTTAAACACGATGAATTTAGGAGATTAAACAATTTCATTAATATTGAAATGGCTCTCGCGTCTGGGCTGCCTCGTTTGAGATGCAAGCGCACGTTTTTCAATATTAACAGAAGTGCTTGAAGAAAAGAATAATGTCACCTTCTTAATTCGGGGCGGGGGGGGGGAGCCAGGAGGAGGCGGTGGGTGCAAGGAGGTGGGGGAGGGGCGCTGACCTGTTTCTGGGGGCAAGACTTGCGAAGGGCAGTTAAACCCTCTGCCGCTAAACCAGCCGGACCCTTGTGGGATCTCTGCGGTGCTTTGGATGGGGGCAGCCGCGCTCCGCAGAGCCGCAGAGGCTTCAGCTCCTTAGGTGGTGCGGCGTGTTCGGGTTACTTGGTGTGGTCCGGCAGGGCTTGAGGGTCCTATAATGCGAGGAGCTGGGGAGCCCAAGAGCCTGAGAGACCCCTGATGACGAACCGTAGTGAGGGCTTGTGTTTCCCATAGGCAAAGGCGTTGGTCCACGGCTTTCCTGCTCCAGAAAGCCGGACGTACAAAAACAGAGGGGGCTCCTGTGGGCGAGGCAGGAGCGCTCCTGGGAGGACAGGTACCAGTATCGAGGTCCCCAAAGATTTTTAGGATCCTCTTAGCAAATATGTGCATACTGATATATAGAATATAAAAAAAACATTGAGTGGCTGGATTCGGGATATGGAACAGTAGCAATGAAAGATCTCTGTTCCCCCAGCGACAGCCAAGATTTTCTCTACCAGGTGTGTGTGTGTGTGTGTGTGTGTGTACACGCCGGCACTCACTTTGAGGGTGGGGGGTGGGAAAGAGAAGTGTTTTCTTGTTTTAACAATTGGCATTTTGTTGCCTTGAAAAGGACCTTTGTATGGCTGTGGAAATCGCTGCTTGGAGTAAATAGAAGATTAACTAAATTCGAAGAGTGGAAATGGTTGGGTTAAAAAAAAAAAAAAGGCCAAGTTGGAATAAATCTTTGTCCATCTCCCCGGGAAAGTTGTCACCACCAAGTTTGGGACATGCGAGGGTGCAAGTAGGAATCCGTGCCTGAGGAACCTGCAAAGTTCGGCTCGGGCGCGAGCGGGAGGCGAGGCTCACCGCCTCTGCCCAGCGTTAATTAATGGAATTGAACCGAGTAGCGCAAATGGGCTTTAGGTGGGACGAGGAGTTGTGAGGTGCACATTTAAAACATGTCCATTGCCACAACATCGTATCTTAGTTCCTACCGAAGATCTACAAAGCCCAGGGGGAGGGGGAGGAGGGTTTGCATGCTATTTACAGAGTTTTAAGACTACTATTATGAAGGAGGGGGATGGGAAAAGAGCACTTTACAGAAATCTTGAAAAGTGCATCAAAGTCTATTGTACAGAACCTAAAACAAACAGAAGCTTTGGGGAGGGGGCACATCCGACCCGGAGGCTTAGGGAGTTGTTGGGAAAACTGTATAAAACACACATAAGTCAATTGTACCCATGTGCAAACCAAATGGAAATCTCTTTCCCGCAATAGCCATTCATCGCCTCCGCGGAGCCCACCACCGACCACCTTTCTGCTTGGAGAGTTCGCAATAGCCTCTTTTCCCACAAGCTGGACCACACACGGCTACAGATTTTGTAATAATTTATGCTAATTTCCCTCCATAAATCCACAATTCGCTTCAGTGGCACCCGGGCTGCGGAGGGAGTAAAAAGGAGACAGAGAGGTGACAAATACAATATTGATTTTGATTCCTTCTGTTGTCAAGCAGGTGTGTGTGTGTGTGTGTGTGTGTGTGTGTGTGTGTGTGCAAGAACGGTGGCGCTGGCGTTTGGGGGCGGGGGCTCGGGGAGAGGCAAGCCCGCGGAGCCTGGCCAGCCTTTCCGTCCACACTCCAGAAAGCAACGCGCCCTGGTTTGTTAATATTTACCAAACACCGGCAAGCTGGGGTGGACACGGGAAAGTATCCAGCAGCTTCCTAAGGTTTCCTAGGCGCCAAAAACAATACCCGCTTTCCCCTCTTGGAAAGTGAACTCGGCGCTGCCTGGAACGTTTTGGCTAAGCCTTCCTTGGCCCCCTTCTCCTCGTTTCTCCCTCACGTCCTTCCCTCCCTCTCCTGGAATCCCCCCCCCCCCCGCCCCGCGCCCCAGTCTGAGTCTCTGCTCTCTCCCTCTTTCTTTCCCCTGTCCTACTGCACCCTTGTTCCTCATTTCTCTCCATTCCCTCCCCTCTCCCCTCCACTTTTTCAATCTTCTCTACCAAATGGGCTGTGAAATGTGCCGGGAGGGTGGAGGAGGAAGAAAGTTGAAGTCCGGCGTGGCGTGGATTCCAGGTTTTAGGGCCTCCTCTGGCCCGCCCCACCTTTCCAGGCCGCCTCCCGCATTTGTCCAAGTTCTCCGCTGTCTCTGGGAACCCGCGCTAGCGCATCGAGCTGCTTTGTCCCATCAGTCATTCTTCGCCGGATCTGCATTTGGGTGGTGTGAAATGACTTAGCTTTCCTTTCAAAAGGATTTTGTTCTCCGGGTATTCGGCACTAAAACAAACTCCCTCAGTCTGTCAGCAGTCAATTTAAAAAAAAAAAAAAAGTCATTCTGAGTATTCTAGAGGCTGTTTGTCCTCCGAATCTGTCCCCCTCTGCCACCAGCACACCCGCCTGGACAGACTGGCTCTGCTGTTCCGGATCCGGGGAGCAGACGGAATCTGCTCATTGAGTTCTCCCATTGGTGGCAACAGGACCTAAGGGTCTTCCAGTCTTTCCAGTTCATGG